AATTTTTTCTTTGTCCCACGCTCGTGTCATGTTGATTAATTCATCTTCACATTTCATTACCGAGCTTAAAATTCACCATCTTTATTAACTTATCAATGTTTTCGTTATCACTACCTTTAGAATTTTTGACTTCCACAAGATCAACAATTTTCATGTATTAGATAATTATAGTCGGACTACTTTCGCGGCAAAACATTAATTGAGGATTTTGCAACAAAGAAGTCTAACGGCCATGTCAAGTATTGAATGGCAAATTTTATTTGCCCGTTTAATTGTGCCATAGCCAGCTTTACTAAGTTTTATTCTCTCGTCCAAAGCTTGTTTGGGAAAATCGATAAAAGCAAATGAATTACAGCGAACAAAAGAAACATATCAGTCGACATTCAGTGACTGCAGCATCGAAATAATATGCTCGTTGAGCGTTTACTGTTTTGTTTTAGTTTCCTTTTGAACCATTAATTTTTAACCGTTAATCGTAAAAGTTGCTCTGATATAATATTCCGTTTGAGTTTNCAGTGTCAGCTACATTTCATGTCACTGTTCCTTTTATAACGGCGCCACTGAGTCGAGAAACCGATTGCACAAATCCAAAACAACAACGTCTTCATAAATTCTTCAAGTTGATGCAGGGCAAGTATTGGGCAATGTTTCTCGTTTCCGAAAAATCCGGCCTCTAGTTAGCAGAAAATTTACCCACTGTTTCGACTTGGCGAAAATACGAGCGCGAAGTTACAGTAATGGGCCTACACTGTGAGTCACGTTTGTGCAACAATGTTTTCGTTATCACTTCCTTTAGAATTTTTGACTTCCACAAGATCAACAATTTTCATGTATTAGATAAATATAATCGGACTACTTTCGCGGCAAAACATTAATTGAGGAATTTGCAACAAAGAAGTCTAACGGCCATGTCAAGTATTGAATGACAAATTTTACTTGCCCGTTTAATTGTGCCACAGCCAACTTTACGATTTTTTATTCTCTCGTCCAAAGCCTGTTTCGGAAAATCGATAACAGCTAATGAATTACAGCGAACAAAAGAAACATAGCAGTCGACATTCAGTGGCTGCATTATCGAAATAATATGCTCTTTGAGCGTTTACTGTTTTGTTTTAGTCTCCTTTTGAACCATTAATTTTTAACCGTTAATCGTAAAAGTTGCTCTGATATAATATTCCGTTTGAGTTTTCATATTGTTCAACCGTCAAGTGGCTGACATAAGACCAAAAACAATAATTAGAATGGTAATGATTCAAGAACCATGAAGTCAAAATGCAGCTGTATAAAACTATATACTTAACAGAGACGTTTGCCGACAGCTGGTGTGTGATATGAGATGCGTGATAAAAATATGTAGAGAGCGGTGAAAATATACGGGGTGGCGTGAAGACATCGTAAGAATGTTATTTTTCGAACAGTCCAAACGTTATTTTACGAACCAGCGTAGCGAGTGATTAAAGTATTGGTTTTAGCACAAACAAGTAAAATTCATATCTTCAAGCCACTGTGTAATTTTATTTTTTTTTTTATTTTTGCGAAGACGGAATCTTTGCACGCCCAGAGAGTTTTTGTCGTCCGGATAAGAATAAACGGCTGAGATATTGCGTTGTCAGTTTCTAGGAAATAGCCGAATAGTTATTCGGCGAGTTTATGTTTCTGTGTCCAGTTATTTTCCCACCTTCATTGGGTGGAATGTTATTACCCACAAGTTTGTGGGCGAAATACATTCTATTAGTGTGTTTTACCAGCGCTCATTCCACGCGAGAAATTAATGGCTTGAAATCGAAAGCACTTTTCCTATATCCTACATGTTGAGACAAATGATTGTCTCTTATCCGAATAGCGACCAAGCCTCGTTCTTTTGCAGGAACGCGTTTTTGTTATGGCGGCGAAAAAACGTTAAGAAATAATACTACCCAAACCTGAAGCGGTCTTCTTATTGCAAGTGTATATGGGACTTGCGTTCTTCAATCTCATTGCCAAACGAAAAAAAAAATCATTTCACACAGGTGAGTTAGAAATATCTCAGTACAGAATAAGGAAATCTAAAGACATTTAATACGAAAAATATGATCGACCTGGCACTTTAAGGAAAGCCTGAGAACATTTTTTTTTCTGTAAACAAATATAATCAAACATCTGGCAGTGAGCATTGTACTGCTTTTTATTTTTGCAGTGAGTTAAAAAAAAGATATCATGTTACGAAAAAAGAAAATTGCCCGTGTGGTTTAACAGTTAGTGGTTTAGGGCTGAGAGTGACCTGGAGTGCGGGTTTTCTCATTTCAGTTTCAAGCCGGGTTTGAAAAACTTACGTATGATAGAAAATGAATAATTCACTCTGTCATCCAAACTCAGTTTAACTTGAAATGATTTGGCGTGAATCATAGATTTAAAATTGAAAGCCGAAAGTACGAATGACAGAAAGGATCGACAGATATATTTTTTTTGCAAAAAGAAGACAATAAATTATGAACTTCACAGAAGAATCTGTGATGATAGATGTTTCCGCTGTGAAGAAAAGGTTTTCCAATAAATGGACAGCTTGGGAACACAGTGGCTAATCTCACACGAAAACAAGCTAATGAAATGAGATTCGCCCGAACAGTGCCACTTAGCAGGTGGAAAGACATTTCTTTTGGTCTCAGTATAAGAGAGCTACTGCTGTGAAATGTTCTGCGGACGTGAAGCAGGAGAGATCTTGAGGCTGACAGCGTTTCTTATTCAACGTGAACATGCAATGGGCGATGCTATTGCAGAACGTAGCTACGATTTTTACAACTTTGTTTTTTTTTTTGAAGTATCACGTATACTGTACATATGTATATAAACAACCGAAAGTGAAATATACAAAAAGAAGAACAGCGAAACGAAATTTGAATTGCAATTTCATTTTCAGGACATGATTTGAATAACAAATTTACTGGAAATTAAATATATATATATTTATTCAAAGCAATCAGTGCCGAGAAGACTAGTAAAATAGAAGCAACTGTCAAAAACAATTTTAAAACGAGTTTACATGAAAGTCAAACTGATATTGCAATAGAAGAGGAACATAAATCTACGTGTATAGTGGAAGTCGAAGCAATGGAAACAAAAACAGCTAAAATAAGTTAAATTATTTAATCTCTATAAGTACATTTTTTCCTTCCTTTGGTCGCTACGAATTCCGCAATAGTTTAATTTCATTTATTGTATCCGATTATTCCAGAGCAATTAAGGGGGGAACTTTTTTAAATTGATATTGTAGTAAGTTTCCGAAAAGAAATTAAAAATGAAAGATTACCAAATTATAAAGACTAGCAAAGTTCAAATAATTACTTTCGTACACAGCAGTAGCAAAGAAATAGCCCATGATTAATTTTAAGGTCTAATGGCAAGTTGCCAAAGCGGGCTGTGAGGATTTGTTTTGACGAAAATCTGCGGGAAAAAAACTCTTCATCCTCAAAGAGGAGAGGAGCAAGTGCCTTCCTGCCATAGTAGTATTTGTGGCCGTTGAGGAGAATTTTGCCCAGACGCAATCCCCAGAAGTCTCCTTGAAGCGATGAAGACAAAACAGGTGAAGTGTTTTGAACCCATTTATTCACAATGTTTACAACTTTTTTTGCGAAATTTTTCGACCGAATTTTGGGTCCTTACAAACATTGAATTTTTTTTTTGACAACCTATGGTTTTAATGGGTGACAGATTTGCTCGTTAACTAATACTGCCAGATTGCCTTAGACTGAAAATGATTCTAAAATCTTAATACAGATAATCGTATACAAGTGACTAAATATGAAAATGACCTCTTAGGAACACGGAAGAACGCATAGCGCATGGCTTAGATTTTTGCAGTTTACTGTCACTCTTCAAGTAACCAAAGGATTACATAAAAGATCAAAATACTCTTTGATATCTTAGCGTTGTGCAAACAAAGTTCTGCTCTTCAGTCCCAGGAATCAATTCCCAAACCTATGGAAATTAATGTCGGTTCATGATTCGCTGTCGAACCATCCCGTCACGATTAGTATTTAACACAATTTAACTCAGTTGTGATTTTAGCTTCTACTTGCAGTGTGCGTGATCTCCAAACTTAGTAAATTTCCATTTAAAAAATCTCCTTGAGAATTTGGGTTCATAAAATCTCAAGGGGAGACACTGTAAAACTTGATAGCTGTAAAACAATGCAAAGTTATCGCCTGGATTGCACTAAAATCAATCAATCAATATATTTAACGTGGTCGGTACGCATAGCTAAAAAGCTCATTTACAGGTACGCACGAAAAAAACAGAAAAAAGAAATTATAAGAGCCTCAGGAAGGTATATAAATTTAAATGAATTAAGATTACGAACTAGCTAGTATTAAAATAAAAGAATCAAAAATGTAGTCTCAAGTAAAATGTGTAAGAAAATATGATCATTAAAAGAAGTAAAAATTAATATTGATCAAGGATAGAGCCACTTCGCACTCAGAGTCCCGTGAGATCTAATTGTTTTAAGTTGTTTTTATAAGTAGTGTACGTTTGTATCTTTCGAGACTCGTCCGAAATAGCGTTCCACAATTTCGATGCAGCGTATCTCCATGATCTTAAGCCGAAAGTTGTTGATCTTACTTTCGGAAGGTCCAGTATTGTGGTGCCCCTAAGGTTAAAGATGACAAAAACTTCATCGATCCACATTTTCAAAGCTCAAACCTTAGACATGCCCGGGATACTACATGTGGTATTTCTATAGGTACACTGCATAAACAATGCACTTTTTTCGGCAAGAACTACTCCTAACAATACAAAATAAAATAAAGCTGGCCCAAAACGAGAAGCTAAGAAAACAATGTTTCTTTGTCCTTTCTTTGTCCTATTTGGAACGCGGTATATGACATTTTTACCTAAGCTTTCAAATAACCAAGGCATCACGTTCATTGCATATCATTATTTGATTTGTTTACTGGACAGGAATTAGTCTAAGTGATAGCTGGACAGTCTTCAGTCATGTCAAAGCCAGCTGACATTGCCTTAACTGCAGTGCTCACCATTTTGATCATCACGGACACCGTTTCTAACCTCCTCGTGATCTTTGTCATTAAGAAAAATAAAGATATGAGGTATGCTATATGTGTGTTGTATTTCTAGTTAATGTGTTATGTTTTCTCATTAGGATGGATAAAGTGTAGTTCTCTACTTTTGAGTCTATTTTTTGTTGTCCAGACGTAAGTACATAAACGGTGAAAGCTTTCCATTGATGAATTTATCCACTGTGGAGACTGTATATCAGGTAGATCAACTGAAATTGTAATTTCTGACGATTGAGGGACGAATTAGTCAGAAATTATTATTTTGACGACACGATGGAGAGGCTTGCGGGGTGGCATGGGACGTTCATGGACTATTTAGGCTTTTGGCGAAAGATTTAGGTCATTCTGGGTTAGCTAGTATTCTTGTTTGTCCTCTGTTTTTAATATTATATATAATTTTAAAAGCTCTTGTTACAAAAGCTTGTATGTATAATAGAAAATGTTCTACGTTACTGACTTGTAACCTTTCCTCGGGGTTTTGTGTTGCTTCATTAGATCAGGAACACGTTTCCACACAATTTTTGGCCGCATCTATTTTAGTGGTTTTTCGTATCTGGCGTAGTACAGGTTCTAATTGTTGGAGCAAATAGTTGTAATTTGCAAGGATGCAGATTATGTTGTAAGAAGGAATACATCTATATCAGATGACCGACTGCAGCACGCTCAGTAAACTATTCACATTGAATGTCTCGTCTTAGCGTGGTCAGAATCAGACATTTTCCATGATCGTAAATGTCGTGTGAAAGGAGGTCATGACGTATGAAAATATATGCGTCCACTTATGTAAAGTATCTGTACGGATATAGCCTGAATATATTACTGTCTGAAGCTGGTTCAAGGTTTCCTTTAGAATGAGTCAGGTAGCAGCTCTCGTTAAGTCTCACATGAATGGCTTGGTACCATTTGAGAGGAAAATAGAACAAACAGCAGTGAAAATGCCCCTAGCCCCAACACAATAACAACTGCTAACAACGAACTACAAGCTAGTTTACAAGGACTGCCTTACTTCTGTTTACAAAGAGTATGAACTACGATATAACCCCAATCTGGGTTTCTTTCCTATATAATGCCTTTAACTCAACTCGTTAAGTTCTTACTATTCTGATTAGTTTTTTTGCTTATGTAAGTCTAATATTTTTTTTTTTCGCTACATGAAATTCTATGTATTAAGCAAAATAAAATGGTTGTTGTTGTTAATTTGTACCTGAGGCTTTTAATGTTTTTATCATTACTATTTTGAAAGCATGGCACTGATGTTACTCCTGCAGGACTCCAATCAGTTATCTACTTGTGAACCTAGCTGTATCAGATATCACGTTCGCGGTGTTTGTTGCACCGAATCACATTTTGAAGAAAATATTCACCCACCCGGAGGGGGGCGGTGGTTCAGAGTTATGCAGAATGCTGACAAGTGGAAACTTCGCATGGGTGGGTGCGGCTTCCTCGTCTCTCACTCTGGTTGCTATTGCTGTTGAACGCTATTACACTGTCATGGGTCCCCTTGGTAGCAAAGGAAAACTTAACAAGCGAAGAGTGAAGGTGAGTAAGCAGCAATATATCTGAGAGACTGACCTGAGGTGACGAATGAGAAGCACACTTGTGGCCTCCAAAGTTTTGTTGTGAAGTCGTTGTAAATAATTCTTAGTTGACCTGTATGTAGAAAGATACAAACAAAATTCGTTGGCATTTATTTCAAAGGAACTAGCAACAACCACAGTCTCTTGAAAGAGCGTGACACAAGCACATTTACTGCGCCAGGCAATGTTAACACGCCCATCATTTTGGATTGCCCAAAATGATTTTTGTTTTTGTACTCAGTCAAGTGGATTTGAATGAATATGCATGTCTTTTACAACTTTCATTGCAACGGAGCGTCCGGGGTGAAATTTGAAAGCATACTTTCATTCCTTCTAGCGACACTGTTCAGCGAATAACGTGGGGCAGGATGGCCGTTATTAACAGACAATATCCATAAAGACTGTCACTTTAGCTGGTACTATATTAAGAGCAGTTTCGCCTAAATATCAACTAGACTTGGAAATAGCGAAAAAATCGAATTTCTTCAAACTCGCCCAGACTGAAGCCCTACGGGCACTAGTTNGGTTATTAGCGGAACAAATGACAAGTATATGATAATCACTGACCTCAAATGAATGAAGAAGATTGTGGACTCCCGATTTAGGGGATAATTCAAACGATTGTAGTGTACTCGATCGGCTCTCAATAGTGACTTCCGGGAGAATTGGACCGCTACCGCTCAGTTAATAGTCGAAAGATGTAAACATTCAAAGCAGTTGATTTATCACTCACAGAATGTCTTCTTGATGCTCCTAGCCTTAGTTTAATGATGTCAAATAAATCCATCTTTCATGACTAAAAGTCGAGGTCGACCTTAAAGAAGCCACTTGTGCTTACATTTTGACAGGTTACATAGGCCAGGTTATATAGGCCAGGTTACATAGCATGTCGAAAGATGGCATGTCGAGAGATAGTTGCTATGCACGTAACACTGAAAGCGGGTGTAATTTCATTTTTTTTTTATTTTTGCGAAGACGGAATCTTTGCACGCCCAGAGAGTTTTTGTCGTCCGGATAAGAATAAACGGCTGAGATATTGCGTTGTCAGTTTCTAGGAAATAGCCGAATAGTTATTCAGCGAGTTTATGTTTCTGTGTCCAGTTATTTTCCCACCTTCATTGGGTGGAATGTTATTACCCACAAGTTTGTGGGCGAAATACATTCTATTAGTGTGTTTTACCAGCGCTCATTCCACGCGAGAAATTAATGGCTTGAAATCGAAAGCACTTTTCCTATATCCTACATGTTGAGACAAATGATTGTCTCTTATCCGAATAGCGACCAAGCCTCGTTCTTTTGCAGGAACGCGTTTTTGTTATGGCGGCGAAAAAACGTTAAGAAATAATACTACCCAAACCTGAAGCGGTCTTCTTATTGCAAGTGTATATGGGACTTGCGTTCTTCAATCTCATTGCCAAACGAAAAAAAAAATCATTTCACACAGGTGAGTTAGAAATATCTCAGTACAGAATAAGGAAATCTAAAGACATTTAATACGAAAAATATGATCGACCTGGCACTTTAAGGAAAGCCTGAGAACATTTTTTTTTCTGTAAACAAATATAATCAAACATCTGGCAGTGAGCATTGTACTGCTTTTTATTTTTGCAGTGAGTTAAAAAAAAGATATCATGTTACGAAAAAAGAAAATTGCCCGTGTGGTTTAACAGTTAGTGGTTTAGGGCTGAGAGTGACCTGGAGTGCGGGTTTTCTCATTTCAGTTTCAAGCCGGGTTTGAAAAACTTACGTATGATAGAAAATGAATAATTCACTCTGTCATCCAAACTCAGTTTAACTTGAAATGATTTGGCGTGAATCATAGATTTAAAATTGAAAGCCGAAAGTACGAATGACAGAAAGGATCGACAGATATATTTTTTTTGCAAAAAGAAGACAATAAATTATGAACTTCACAGAAGAATCTGTGATGATAGATGTTTCCGCTGTGAAGAAAAGGTTTTCCAATAAATGGACAGCTTGGGAACACAGTGGCTAATCTCACACGAAAACAAGCTAATGAAATGAGATTCGCCCGAACAGTGCCACTTAGCAGGTGGAAAGACATTTCTTTTGGTCTCAGTATAAGAGAGCTACTGCTGTGAAATGTTCTGCGGACGTGAAGCAGGAGAGATCTTGAGGCTGACAGCGTTTCTTATTCAACGTGAACATGCAATGGGCGATGCTATTGCAGAACGTAGCTACGATTTTTACAACTTTGTTTTTTTTTTTGAAGTATCACGTATACTGTACATATGTATATAAACAACCGAAAGTGAAATATACAAAAAGAAGAACAGCGAAACGAAATTTGAATTGCAATTTCATTTTCAGGACATGATTTGAATAACAAATTTACTGGAAATTAAATATATATATATTTATTCAAAGCAATCAGTGCCGAGAAGACTAGTAAAATAGAAGCAACTGTCAAAAACAATTTTAAAACGAGTTTACATGAAAGTCAAACTGATATTGCAATAGAAGAGGAACATAAATCTACGTGTATAGTGGAAGTCGAAGCAATGGAAACAAAAACAGCTAAAATAAGTTAAATTATTTAATCTCTATAAGTACATTTTTTCCTTCCTTTGGTCGCTACGAATTCCGCAATAGTTTAATTTCATTTATTGTATCCGATTATTCCAGAGCAATTAAGGGGGGAACTTTTTTAAATTGATATTGTAGTAAGTTTCCGAAAAGAAATTAAAAATGAAAGATTACCAAATTATAAAGACTAGCAAAGTTCAAATAATTACTTTCGTACACAGCAGTAGCAAAGAAATAGCCCATGATTAATTTTAAGGTCTAATGGCAAGTTGCCAAAGCGGGCTGTGAGGATTTGTTTTGACGAAAATCTGCGGGAAAAAAACTCTTCATCCTCAAAGAGGAGAGGAGCAAGTGCCTTCCTGCCATAGTAGTATTTGTGGCCGTTGAGGAGAATTTTGCCCAGACGCAATCCCCAGAAGTCTCCTTGAAGCGATGAAGACAAAACAGGTGAAGTGTTTTGAACCCATTTATTCACAATGTTTACAACTTTTTTTGCGAAATTTTTCGACCGAATTTTGGGTCCTTACAAACATTGAATTTTTTTTTTGACAACCTATGGTTTTAATGGGTGACAGATTTGCTCGTTAACTAATACTGCCAGATTGCCTTAGACTGAAAATGATTCTAAAATCTTAATACAGATAATCGTATACAAGTGACTAAATATGAAAATGACCTCTTAGGAACACGGAAGAACGCATAGCGCATGGCTTAGATTTTTGCAGTTTACTGTCACTCTTCAAGTAACCAAAGGATTACATAAAAGATCAAAATACTCTTTGATATCTTAGCGTTGTGCAAACAAAGTTCTGCTCTTCAGTCCCAGGAATCAATTCCCAAACCTATGGAAATTAATGTCGGTTCATGATTCGCTGTCGAACCATCCCGTCACGATTAGTATTTAACACAATTTAACTCAGTTGTGATTTTAGCTTCTACTTGCAGTGTGCGTGATCTCCAAACTTAGTAAATTTCCATTTAAAAAATCTCCTTGAGAATTTGGGTTCATAAAATCTCAAGGGGAGACACTGTAAAACTTGATAGCTGTAAAACAATGCAAAGTTATCGCCTGGATTGCACTAAAATCAATCAATCAATATATTTAACGTGGTCGGTACGCATAGCTAAAAAGCTCATTTACAGGTACGCACGAAAAAAACAGAAAAAAGAAATTATAAGAGCCTCAGGAAGGTATATAAATTTAAATGAATTAAGATTACGAACTAGCTAGTATTAAAATAAAAGAATCAAAAATGTAGTCTCAAGTAAAATGTGTAAGAAAATATGATCATTAAAAGAAGTAAAAATTAATATTGATCAAGGATAGAGCCACTTCGCACTCAGAGTCCCGTGAGATCTAATTGTTTTAAGTTGTTTTTATAAGTAGTGTACGTTTGTATCTTTCGAGACTCGTCCGAAATAGCGTTCCACAATTTCGATGCAGCGTATCTCCATGATCTTAAGCCGAAAGTTGTTGATCTTACTTTCGGAAGGTCCAGTATTGTGGTGCCCCTAAGGTTAAAGATGACAAAAACTTCATCGATCCACATTTTCAAAGCTCAAACCTTAGACATGCCCGGGATACTACATGTGGTATTTCTATAGGTACACTGCATAAACAATGCACTTTTTTCGGCAAGAACTACTCCTAACAATACAAAATAAAATAAAGCTGGCCCAAAACGAGAAGCTAAGAAAACAATGTTTCTTTGTCCTTTCTTTGTCCTATTTGGAACGCGGTATATGACATTTTTACCTAAGCTTTCAAATAACCAAGGCATCACGTTCATTGCATATCATTATTTGATTTGTTTACTGGACAGGAATTAGTCTAAGTGATAGCTGGACAGTCTTCAGTCATGTCAAAGCCAGCTGACATTGCCTTAACTGCAGTGCTCACCATTTTGATCATCACGGACACCGTTTCTAACCTCCTCGTGATCTTTGTCATTAAGAAAAATAAAGATATGAGGTATGCTATATGTGTGTTGTATTTCTAGTTAATGTGTTATGTTTTCTCATTAGGATGGATAAAGTGTAGTTCTCTACTTTTGAGTCTATTTTTTGTTGTCCAGACGTAAGTACATAAACGGTGAAAGCTTTCCATTGATGAATTTATCCACTGTGGAGACTGTATATCAGGTAGATCAACTGAAATTGTAATTTCTGACGATTGAGGGACGAATTAGTCAGAAATTATTATTTTGACGACACGATGGAGAGGCTTGCGGGGTGGCATGGGACGTTCATGGACTATTTAGGCTTTTGGCGAAAGATTTAGGTCATTCTGGGTTAGCTAGTATTCTTGTTTGTCCTCTGTTTTTAATATTATATATAATTTTAAAAGCTCTTGTTACAAAAGCTTGTATGTATAATAGAAAATGTTCTACGTTACTGACTTGTAACCTTTCCTCGGGGTTTTGTGTTGCTTCATTAGATCAGGAACACGTTTCCACACAATTTTTGGCCGCATCTATTTTAGTGGTTTTTCGTATCTGGCGTAGTACAGGTTCTAATTGTTGGAGCAAATAGTTGTAATTTGCAAGGATGCAGATTATGTTGTAAGAAGGAATACATCTATATCAGATGACCGACTGCAGCACGCTCAGTAAACTATTCACATTGAATGTCTCGTCTTAGCGTGGTCAGAATCAGACATTTTCCATGATCGTAAATGTCGTGTGAAAGGAGGTCATGACGTATGAAAATATATGCGTCCACTTATGTAAAGTATCTGTGCGGATAGAGCCTGAATATATTACTGTCTGAAGCTGGTTCAAGGTTTCCTTTAGAATGAGTCAGGTAGCAGCTCTCGTTAAGTCTCACATGAATGGCTTGGTACCATTTGAGAGGAAAATAGAACAAACAGCAGTGAAAATGCCCCTAGCCCCAACACAATAACAACTGCTAACAACGAACTACAAGCTAGTTTACAAGGACTGCCTTACTTCTGTTTACAAAGAGTATGAACTACGATATAACCCCAATCTGGGTTTCTTTCCTATATAATGCCTTTAACTCAACTCGTTAAGTTCTTACTATTCTGATTAGTTTTTTTGCTTATGTAAGTCTAATATTTTTTTTTTTCGCTACATGAAATTCTATGTATTAAGCAAAATAAAATGGTTGTTGTTGTTAATTTGTACCTGAGGCTTTTAATGTTTTTATCATTACTATTTTGAAAGCATGGCACTGATGTTACTCCTGCAGGACTCCAATCAGTTATCTACTTGTGAACCTAGCTGTATCAGATATCACGTTCGCGGTGTTTGTTGCACCGAATCACATTTTGAAGAAAATATTCACCCACCCGGAGGGGGGCGGTGGTTCAGAGTTATGCAGAATGCTGACAAGTGGAAACTTCGCATGGGTGGGTGCGGCTTCCTCGTCTCTCACTCTGGTTGCTATTGCTGTTGAACGCTATTACACTGTCATGGGTCCCCTTGGTAGCAAAGGAAAACTTAACAAGCGAAGAGTGAAGGTGAGTAAGCAGCAATATATCTGAGAGACTGACCTGAGGTGACGAATGAGAAGCACACTTGTGGCCTCCAAAGTTTTGTTGTGAAGTCGTTGTAAATAATTCTTAGTTGACCTGTATGTAGAAAGATACAAACAAAATTCGTTGGCATTTATTTCAAAGGAACTAGCAACAACCACAGTCTCTTGAAAGAGCGTGACACAAGCACATTTACTGCGCCAGGCAATGTTAACACGCCCATCATTTTGGATTGCCCAAAATGATTTTTGTTTTTGTACTCAGTCAAGTGGATTTGAATGAATATGCATGTCTTTTACAACTTTCATTGCAACGGAGCGTCCGGGGTGAAATTTGAAAGCATACTTTCATTCCTTCTAGCGACACTGTTCAGCGAATAACGTGGGGCAGGATGGCCGTTATTAACAGACAATATCCATAAAGACTGTCACTTTAGCTGGTACTATATTAAGAGCAGTTTCGCCTAAATATCAACTAGACTTGGAAATAGCGAAAAAATCGAATTTCTTCAAACTCGCCCAGACTGAAGCCCTACGNTAGTGCCCGTAGGGCTTCATTCTGGGCGAGTTTGAAGAAATTCGATTTTTTCGCTATTTCCAAGTCTAGTTGATATTTAGGCGAAGCTGCTCTTAAATGTATATCACACCTGCTTCTGCTCCCGCACCAGTTTCTTGGTTGATCACTTCCTGAATTTGTCCCAGTTGTACCTGCTCCAGCTCCAGCTAAAAGTCTACCTCTGCTCGTGGAACTTCTTCTCCTATAGAAAGTCCCAATGCTTGATTACGGGTTCAGAACCACTTTTTAAAATTTGTCCAAACGTTTTGAGATATGACTTGTGAGATTTCCACTATGCTAAGTACATGTCTTTTCATTGGCTCATAACGCGCCATTTTCAGGTAATTATTTTTGGTTGTTGGATCTTTGCACTGGTTTTAAGCTTACCGCTGTTCCTGGTCACAATATTTGATGAGTCAACTGGCGACTGCAAATGGAACTGGCCAGAAAGTTGGATGGGCGCAGCGTATGATACCACTTGGCTTGTATTGCTGGCCATCATTCCACTGATAATCATGACTGGCTTATACTCCAGAGTCGTTTATTCCTTGTGGTTTAAGCGAAATGACGATAACGAACTTGCTTTTCAACAAAAGGTAAGAATTATCAGAAAAAAAAGTGACTTTATGAAAATAATCAAAGGAGATCTATGGCCAAACTCGTGGATTAGGTAATCTAGAGATGAAACATATTGGTGAACTTGCAATTACTGGTGTATTATTAAATGCTGTTAAAACAAGCCGGGTTTGTACCATGCAAGGTTGCACTTAACTCACGCAGTGTAGGCTTTTTTCGTTGGCTTTTTTTTGCACACATATCACAAAGACATATGTCCAGAATAGCCAGGGTGGCAAAATTGCAGCAAAACATGGAGTGGTAAAGGCTAAGGGTTCTTGGGTCACAGAGGACACTCCTGCCCAGCAAATCATAGAGTACTCTCCCCCCTCCCCCCTTCTCTCACACCCAGATCTTGATGTTGATCTGCCTGCTGGAAAAATTTGCATGTATTCAAGTCGTACGAGCTTACAAACGTTTTTCATTGCATTTCATTCAAGG